GATATTTTCTTACACCCCTAGTAGTAGGGGAGAGGGATGACCTCCAACACATCTTCTGAGTAGAGGTTTACCAAAAAAATCAATTCACGTCAGAATCATGATTCTCATTTACAAAAATTTAGAATCAATTTTAAATGTCCCCTTTAGGTTTTTTTTACTGAACAAGTCTGAGTTTGACACGAGCCTCACTGTGTGCAAGGTTGGCAAAATGAAGACGAAGCACTTTGGGAACGCAACCAATGGGCTAACGTTATCAGCTTTGAATGAAAAATCGATTTTGAATTGAATCATGGCCCCAAAAATCAGAACTGACTTATTATTAAAAGATTCCCACATCTACTTCTGCGTGTTACCACATCAAGTGTCTTATAGAAATAAATAACAATGAAGCTTGTTTGAACGAAACAAACTGTTTTAATAATTTGTTGCACCTACTTTCCTTTTTCTCTTGCAAAATACAAAATATAAGACACAACAAAACTATTCAATCAAAAATCAGTAAAGATTTTTGTTTTATTTATTTTGTGGTTTGGTTTAGTTTAATTCCCCTTGTTCTAATTCCTTTAATAAGATCATTTAGCTCAGTTCCACAGTGTTTGGTCCGATCCAGCCCCCTGTCATTCAGCACAAGCTGGCACCGGGAATGTTTGCTTGTTTGTGGACATTTTGTTGATGTTATCACACTAATGAACTCTAATGGGGTTCGTTATTGCCACTGTGTGCTCTGGGACAAATAAGGTGGCAGGACTCTGCCACCCAGCAGGAATTTGYAAACAGTTTAGCTCCCCATTCAGCATGCTGTAGGATCTTTGTTTTCTGTCTTTGTTCATGTATTTCTGTACCTCGATTACACACGATGGCATACAAGTAGGCAGTATAATATGAATGGGGTGAGCCTGTCAAATGATAGTTATCTAACTCAGTGGTTCCCAAAGTTTTTATCTTTTGACCCACAAAATAACAGTAGCAGAGACCTGTGCCCACAACTATTTTTGGATGATAAACATTTGTATCAGGTCAACTAAATATGGACATAGTAACAATATTTATTATTCTACATTTATACATTTTAGGCAACTAAGGCAAAAATGTAATTAATTTAGAAAATCTTTTCAGGACCCCACCTTGATGTTTCTGGTCCCRACCCCAACTTTGGGAACCACTGATCTAACCCAACCAGATATCTCTTAATTTGAAGAAAATTGTGAAATGGTCAATTTRAGGGAATTTCTCACTGTTTTTTCTTTTTTGTGTTTACATATAAAGTTCAATATTACTCACTGTATTAAATGATGTGAGGTTGGATACTGGCCAGAGAAAGATTAAAAATCAGACAAGAAGATTTAGCACAAAACATTGGACTTGAACCTTTGAATGAATTGACCCTCGTACTCATTCATTAAGTTGGCGTCTGTGAATCACTCKCCCACATCCAGACTTGGAAGCCTTGTTGTGGCTCGCATCACCAGTAACAAAACCATTTTAGCTCCCTTGTACTTTGCCAGGACCCTGTCCTAACTTTGAAGCTGTTTAGTGCCCCAAAATCAGCGAATAAATGGTTGCCAGTTGTGGAAGTGATTTCCGCTTGCACACGTGTAGTTAGGTCCAATAATGACTACAGTATAATGTAAAGGCTAGTTTCAACAGAACATTTTATAAATATGTATACAATTAAAATAAACATTTCTAGATGGAGTGCATGTTTCTTACCACCTTGCAGGTTTAAACAAAGATSAATGAGAGCTCATAGTATGTGTTGTAACTCTCAGCTACAAACACACTGAACTGACTCATATGTAATCATTTTTGTGTTTGCAGAGGTTTTTTTTTACCTGTGGGGATATTTTTAATTGAGCTGACTTTAAGATATTTATTTGTAGATTTATATCTGAGATGTTTTAAAGRGATCCCCGATTAGTTGTAACATTAGACTTTATTTGATAAACTTTAACTGTAAAATAAAGACTGTAAAAATACAATATGTTGTTTAGTTTTTGTAATTTTTAAACTAAAAGTTTAAAAATATATTGCACGGACGGGGCCATTTTATTTACATGCAAAGCATTCTGGGTAAATGATGACATGGATAGGTCTTTGATGCGAAGCTGCTAGCGAGCTATATCCACCCTGAAGGTTAATCTTGGACAATATCTGACGATCGGCTCTTTTAAATGAAACCAGAGAGTGTTGCCAGAGAGGAGAAGGTAGAAATGACTCAGCCTGTAACTGAAAATATGGATGGAGGACAACAGAGCTGCTTCATGGAAGAAGAACCTCAGCTTAGCCTGTTAGTTTGTCACGCTAGCACCAAGCTAATACATATAAGGCAAATGGAATATAGCGTCGGTGCTAGCGCAGAGGCTAACAGGCTAAACTGAGGTTCTTCTTCCATGAGGACCTGTCCACGTCATCATTTACCCAGAATGCTTTGCGTGTAAATAAAATGGCCCCGTCTGTGTTAAAATATATTTTTGAAAATTTACAAAACGAAACAGCCTACAGTATTTTTTACAGTCTTTATTTACAGTTAAAATATATGTTTATCAAATAAAGTCTAATGTTACAACTAATCGGGGATCCTTTTATTAAAATCTGTCCCATGGTTCATGACACACACAAACACAGTCAGTTACATGATCGCCCATTAAATTAATTAAATTAAAACACTGGAGTGTATAATATAGTTTTCTCATTTGTTTTGATATTCAGTAGCAGTGCATTGATTGCAGTTTTTTGGCCGATCTCCGATCTTTAAAAAGTTTGACCTGCCGATATTGATTTTTTAAATAGCTGACACTGTTGGGTGTTATAAGGTCACACGTTCAATGTTCTTATGTTATTTTATTGTAAAACAATGAACAATACCCTTGAAACAATACAAACTTGTTTTAGCTGGATATTAGGTAGTGCTCACAGCAGAGCTAAAGGAGACAGTGGCTGATTTTCAAACCTTTGTGGAGGTAGATGAGACACCAGTTTTTTCCTATCGGCCGTTCTCCGATCTCTCAAAATTAAGGAAATGGGTAATACACCCCTAACACTCAGTCCTATGTACCACACAGCGCACAGCGCTCCTCATGTTGCCTGAACTCTGAATCAACAGGAAGAGTGATCATCGCGTAGATCCTGTTACTGGACATCCTCGTTCGTTGTCTTCTGTTGGTTTTGCCAACAGCTGATGAATGAGATTTCTTGCAGTCAGACACTGACGCTGTTCACTTGCAAACAATCAGCAGGGAATATTGTGTTACAGTTGTACTTTAGGTGTACTTTGTCACACATTTGTGTAATCCTCTTTTGCTCTTGTCACTGGTGTTTTACTTTGACTCTAAACTTCCTTCTCTAAATGTTTCGACAGCGCCAAATGGCACAAGGCTGGTGATAATGTTTTGTCTGTGCAAGTTTGTTTTTAATAAAATGTCTCACAGGATGTATTTTAATGAAACTTTCAGAAAGAAGTCACTGAATGAACATCTTTAACTCATTAACTTTTGGAGTAACCTCAATTCATGATAGCAACCACAGTTATTTGAGTAGAGAGAGCACATAAAGGCTATAATTCTCTCAGTCTTAAAACAGTTAAGGTCAATTTTAGTCTGGTAGTAGTTGAGAGTCCTCACCAGCACACACAATGAGCAGGAGATTGCTTGAAATTTTGTGTTGATGATTTTAAAGTTGGATCAAAATGGTTAAAGTTAAAATAGGAACAAAAATCTTCATTTAAGATTGTCTAAACTAAACTAAACTAAACTAAACTAAACTAAACTAAACCAAACCAAACCAAACCAAACCTAAACTAAACTAAACTAAAGGGTGTATTCAAACCAGGAAAGTCCTTTGTATGGGGTGCCGTTTGTAAAGTGACACAGTCAAAAATTACCACCAATCTTTTTGTTTTATTTAGCCTTTTATAAGAAAAAAAAAGAACAGATTTATTTTACAAAGTCATTTTTTCACCATATGATWCATACATTTATAAATGTCATAGTTTATAAACTAAATATTTAACTTACAAATTAAATATTTAGTTAACAAGCTAAATATTTAACTTGTGACTTAAATATTTAGTTTTGAGCTAAATATTTAGCTAGCTACCTAAATATTTAACTTAAATATTTAGCTAGCAAGTTAAATAGTTAGGTAGATAGCTAAACATTTAATTTGTAAGTTAAATATTAATTTATAAACTATGACATTTATAAATGTTTGACTCGTGGTGAAAAACTGACTTTGAGAAATATATCTGTCCTTTTTTTCTAATAAAAGTCTAAATAGAACAAAAAGATTGGTGGTAATTTTTGACTGTGTAACTTTACAAACGACACCCCATACCCTTCCTTCAAGTTCATTTAAAAAAAAATAAAGTTAGGTTTTTACTCGTCTTTGCCATCAACAACTGAACTATCAGGAGTGAGTCAGTCTAAAGCACACAGGCGATACATCTAATCCCTCTCAGCAGCTGAATAATTCATACTCAATCAGGTCTGAGAGGTTGAAGCAGTCTTCTTGGCACACGTGCATTTTCAATGATTCATTTTATGAGCTTTGCAAGGGGTCTCTTAATTGTTGTTTACTGCTCGCTATCCGACCACATGTTATTTTTATGCCAGTGAGATTACTCCCGACAGCGCCTCCGAGTGCTTGGGAAATAAAATCCATTAAGAGGTTCTTGGAGCTGTTTTTCTGTCAAGCTTTGTGAAACTTTACTTCACAAAAAAAAAAAAAAAAAAACACAATAGGCTACATCTCATCCAATTTAAAGGCCAGTCTGTGATGAAGAATCGCTTGGAGAGACACCAAAACGTAGGAAAAACACACATAATTGAGCTGATTATTGGAAAACAGGTTAAAAACGACTGAAAGGTTAAAGTTATTTAGAAATAAAAGTAAACCTGCATTTAACACAACGTTATGGTTAAACCTTCTTTCATTTAGTTTTACGCATGATTTGAAGGACTTAATAAAGAGCTGTACGAACATTTCTGTTTCTCCAAATTTAGATTCTGTAGAGGGAGCCCTGAACTCCTCAGAGGTCTCCCCCTGGCCTGTTTGGAGCATCATGGTCACCACATTCATCAAAGAGGTGCACTGCCAAGGCCGCGGCAGCTACTAAAACTATGAACTCTCACAGACAGCAAGGTAAGCTGTAGAAATATTCTGTTTTCTGTCGATGTGTGAGTCTTTTAATACTGAAAAGGTCATATTTTTGGCATGAATGCATTTTTGTAGTGCATCGGGTGATATGCACTTCTTTAAAAACGCTGTTCCTTTAACTTTATAGGTGATTAATATAGTTATTTTTACAAATAAACATGGCACGACCATAGCTGGACAGTTTTTTATAGAGTATTCAATGTTTCAGTGAGTTGGGTTGAAAGTTGCACATAAACCTCCCACTTGACTTTTCTATTTTGGTAGCTTTGACATTGGGAAAGTAACTCTCACTTCTCAATTTAATGTCTTGTTAGTGGTTCATTTTCTCCTTGTCGCCTTTCAGTCTGAGTAGCATTACTAAGCCCTTTTCCACATATGACAGATCATAATTTCCTGTTCCAAAACCACCGTTTTCAGAGGACTGAGGAGCCTTTTGTCCAACTTAAACTTGGGTGGCACAGGCTGCCATGTTGTCATGCTTCTTGGCATTTCGGAACTGGGTTTATAGCCTTGGAAACAGAGCTAGAACAAAAACAACACACACAAAAAAATATCCCCATTAGACCCCCACCCGCTGTCCTCTCTTCTTCTCTCCAGCAGCAGTAATCTGTGGCCTGTCCTGGCTAGAAGGGGAGAGAGATCCTGCGTCAATAATGTCGTCATGCACGGCAACTCCCTGATTTGGGTCTCAAATGGAGCTGGGCCATCTGCTGCTGGAGGCCTTGCAGAGAATGTTAAAAATGTTCTCGAGCCTCTACAATCTAACCAAAACACACAACAGGGATAAAACCAGCAGAAGTGTTTGTCGTTAACCTGCAGTCTCGACTCACCTGACATCTTCCCCACATCTTATTCCTGATCATTATGAGGTCGCTTTGAGCCGGCAGAGGATGTGCCAGCTTCTAATTCATGTTTGGGTTTTTATGGGAAGTGAGACTTGGGAAGAAAAAAAATGTATTTGTGAATTATTTTAGTTTTAGAAACAGCTGGGTTTCATCCTTTTTGACAAATCTGGTCGTCCTGTTCCTTCCACTGGTGGAATGTATGTTTTTCTTGTTTACATACATGTTTACTCCATCCCAATGTGAGTTGACATAATTTATACCTATTTACACCTCCTATTTTAATGACTGACTGTCTTCTATGTTAGTAATTACACTCGGATAACTTATTTTAAAGGGCCAATATTAAGTGTTTCTCAGGCAGATATTTAAATACTATACCATAATAAAGGATCTATGTCACCTTTAGCTGTTATTAAAATGCTGTTTTTATGTTTAAATAGAAAATAAACTTATCTTCTCATCACTTCTTCTTCTAAACGCCTTGAAATTGGCCTCTGTCTCTTTAAGAACCTCCTTCTGCTTCTGTCTCGTCCCGTTCAGTGTGTGTGTGTGTGTGT